ACTAAGACTGGGATGCCATTAAAGTTCATGTGCATGTAAAGGCAGGCGTCCCATACTTTTGACAATATAGTGTATGTAATCAGTCTTAGAGCTGGTGTGGGACAGTTGCAGTGCCACAAGGATGCTAAAGCATCGTGGTGAATATGAATGTTTATAAATTTTATTTACTCCAAACATCTGCTTTACCATAATAGTCAAATACGTTGAAAATATTTCTTCCAGAAAGCAGTATTATATAAAACATTATCTTTAAATTGTATCTTTTATGTTAATGACAAAATAAAATCTTCAAATAAAAACGTCTAATCCATTTACCTTGATTGGTATGTGATGACAAATTTGTTATTTTTCACTTGTGCCTTATCAATATACAACACATGGGGGGAAACATTGATAATAAATGTCTTTGCAACTTTTGTATGTTGTAGTTTTATATAATTGTTGGAATACAGTGTTTATGTATTTTGTGCAACAACTATATCAGTATTCGGTAGAGTTATATTCTTAAACTAGTAAATGGAAGTGTTTATAAGTTTTTTAGCTGCATCTATGGTATGTCTTTTCTCTGAATAAAATTTCCTGTTTTCCTTATTGCAGTGAAGCAGAAAACACATGTGGGACTGTACTGTCTGTTCTGTAGGGCTATATAAAGAATTTTTAGCAGGTTATGGGCCCAGACCTAGTCATACCCAGTTACAGCAAATAAGTGCAAGTGAAAGAAGACTGCAACAGAATAAAAGAAGGTGTCCGGTGACAGTGACACAGCTGCAACAAACTTTTCATTTGCACAGACAAACCAGAACTACCGTCCTGGAAAATTCAAGATGAAAATACTGCTAATAAGAGAAGGTATGTGGAAATGTATAAATGAAGTCTGGCCAGAACACTTTTTGAGTGGATAGAGAAAGATCAGAAAGCTCAGAGCACAATCTCTCTTGGCATAGAAGATAATCAAATCATACATACAGTATATGTAAGTGTGAAACTGGTAAAGAAATGTGGAAAGGACTACAAAAGGTGCATGAAAGAGCTAATCTCAGCAATCCACTGTACTTAATTAGCAAAGCAAAAAAGAGCAAACCATACTGATGAAAGGCCAGGATATGCAGGATTACATAAGGCACACCTTGAAAATGGTTGAATTCCTGAGAGGTATAGGAGAAGAAATAGAAGATTTTCATGTCACAGCACTATTATTTAGTGGTTTACCAGAAAGTTATGAAAACTTGTCACAGCACTTGATGCACGTCCAAATGATGAACTGACATTGGAATGTGTTAAGGGCAAGCTTATGGATGAATATAAGCATAAAACAGAAAGCATTAATAGTGATAGTGTCTGCTTTAAGGATTAAAAGTAAAAATAAAAACAGTAAATTGCAACAAGAAACGGGTGAATGCTTTGTGTGCAAGAAACAAGGCCATTTAAAAGCAAATTGCAGAATCTGGAAAGCTAGAATGTAAAAACAAAGTAAACTACAAAAGGCCAAAAGTATGAAGGAAGAAATTGATTTTTCTTCAGCTAATTAATATGTTTTTCAGTCCAAAAGTTGAACCTGATCTCTGCAGGCATGGTGTTTTGATTCATGAGCTACGAGTCAAATGACAAATTACAAAACTTTCCTCGATCACCATGACCAGAATAAAACAAAAAAAAAAAAATCCCCACAGATAATAGCAAAAAATGGAATCAAAAGGAATAGGAGACGGTTTTCTTTACAATCCTTTTTCCCCAGAGTCTCACCAGAAATATACAGTCAGGTCCATAAATATTGGGACATCGACACAATTCTAACATTTTTGGCTCTATACACCACCACAATGGATTTGAAATGAAACGAACAAGATGTGCTTTAACTGCAGACTGTCAGCTTTAATTTGAGGGTATTTACATCCAAATCAGGTGAATGGTGTAGGAATTACAACAGTTTGCATATGTGCCTCCCACTTGTTAGGGGACCAAAAGTAATGGGACAATTGGCTTCTCAGCTGTTCCATGGCCAGGTGTGTGTTATTCCCTCATTATCCCAATTACAATGAGCAGATAAAAGGTCCAGAGTTCATTTCAAGTGTGCTATTTGCATTTGGAATCTGTTGCTGTCAACTCTCAAGATGAGATCCAAAGAGCTGTCACTATCAGTGAAGCAAGCCATCATTAGGCTGAAAAAACAAAACAAACCCATCAGAGAGATAGCAAAAACATTAGTCGTGGCCAAAACAACTGTTTGGAACATTCTTAAAAAGAAGGAACGCACCGGTGAGCTTAGAAACACCAAAAGAATCGTAAGACCACGGAAAACAACTGTGGTGGATGACTGAAGAATTCTTTCCCTGGTGAAGAAAACACCCTTCACAACAGTTGGCCAGATCAAGAACACTCTCCAGGAGGTAGGTGTATGTGTGTCAAAGTCAACAATCAAGAGAAGACTTAACCAGAGTGAATACAGAGGGTTCACCACAAGATATAAACCATTGGTGAGCCTCAAAAACAGGAAGGCCAGATTAGAGTTTGCCAAACGACATCTAAAAAAGCTTTCACAGTTCTGGAACAACATCCTATGGACAGATGAGACCAAGATCAACTTGTACCAGAGTGATGGGAAGAGAAGAGTATGGAGAAGAGGAAAGGAACTGCTCATGATCCTAAGCATACCACCTCATCAGTGAAGCATGGTGGTGGTAATGTCATGGCGTGGGTATGTATGGCTGCCAATGGAACTGGATCTCTTGTATTTATTGATGATGTGACTGCTGACAAAAGCAGCAGGATGAATTCTGATGTGTTTCGGGCAATTTTATCTGCTCATATTCAGCCAAATGCTTCAGAACTCATTGGACTCCGCTTCACAGTGCAGATGGACAATGACCCAAAGCATACTGCAAAAGCAACCAAAGAGTTTTTTAAGGGAAAGAAGTGGAATGTTATGCAATGGCCAAGTAAATCACCTGACCTGAATCCGATTGAGCATGCATTTCACTTGCTGAAGAAAAAACTGAAGGGAAAATGCCCCAAGAACAAGCAGGAACTGAAGACAGTTGCAGTAGAGGCCTGGCAGAGCATCACCAGGGATAAAACCCAGCGTCTGGTGATGTCTATGCGTTCCAGACTTCAGGCTGTAATTGACTGCAATGGATTTGCAACCAAGTATTAAAAAGTGAAAGTTTGATTTATGATTATTATTCTGTCCCATTACTTTTGGTTCCTTAACAAGTGGGAAGCACATATGCAAACTGTTGTAATTCCTACACCGTTCACCTGATTTGGAGGTAAATACCCTCAAATTAAAGCTGACAGTCTGCAGTTAAAGCACATCTTGTTCCTTTCATTTCAAATCCATTGTGGTGGTGTATAGAGCCAAAAATGTTAGAATTGTGTCGATGTCCCAATATTTATGGACCGGACTGTACCTGTAAAAAATGTCCTCTATGTTCCAGCTCTTGGAACTAATATTTTGTCAGTGAAAAAGCTCACAAAACAAGGCAATGTAGTGACCTTCCAAGGTGACAGTTGTGCCATCACAAAAGGGGATATCTTACTTAAAGGCTAAAATTACAAATTAGCTGTATCAGCTGAACTGCAATAAGGTGGTTAATACTGCCAAGATGGAAAAACATTCAAACTGCATTCACAGATGGCACAGATGACTTGGGCACAGATGTCCTGACAGAATAAAGAAATACACTGGAATGAATGCAAGTGGAATAATAGTTAGTCCATGTGACACAAACAGAAATTAATGCAGACATTCCAAATACTGTAAAAAAAGAAAACCAGGCCACAAGAGGCTTCAATCAGGGGATCCACCAGAAGCAATAAAGACATCCCAGCCAAACATCTGTCCTATGTTGCTCGCATAGCATCGAAACCTGAGCCAGATTTATGGGATGAGATGCAAAGACTTCCAACCCATGAGAAACAAAAGTGGATCAGAGCTACTGATGAAGAGATGACATCTCTTAGCGAACTGAAACAGATTTATAGAACTGAGATCTTAAATAGGACTAATATAAGGAGTAGCTGTTGATTGGGGGTGTTGGAATACAGTGTTCATGTATTTTGTGCAACAACTAAGTTAATATTCTTCAACCAGTAGATGACAGTGTTTAAAAGTTTGTAGTTTGCATGTATGGTATGTCTTTTCTCTGAATAAAGTTTTCTGTTTTCCTTGTTGCAGTGAAGTGGAAAAACACATGTGGACTGAGCACTGCCTGTTCTGTAGGGCTATAAAAAGAATTTCTAACAATAATCCTTCCACTGCAAATGCTCTTGTGTATTCCTGTTTCCTAAAGATTGTCTTTGCTGCAAGTTGTCCTCCTCTTGTGTTGGCTTGTGTGTGCTGAAGAGACTTATTGGTACAAAGCCAAGCATCTACAGTGTGCTAGTCTTTATATTCAACTTTTTTTATTTTCTATAGTGTTCTTTGGAAGGCTTCATTTTTCCTAATTATTACCAAACTTTCTCAATCACCTTGCCTTCCTCAACCCCTGCTTCTGACTAAGTGCTTGATTGAATCTGTTGCTCGCAAGGTCTCCTTCTAAATCTGTTCCATTGACTCTCAACAATGTTTGTGTTAGACTTCAAAAGGTGTACTTCTCATTAGGGTTTATTCACATCAATATAGTAAAAGTGTAGCACAACTAAAATGTATATAATCCAAGATAAAAATGTGCAAAAAAATATAAATTAAAAAAAAAAAAAAAAAAAAAGGAAATGCATCAAACACAATAAGTGATATAACTTATAATATGAATAGATACAGTGCAATGGATAATCCAATATCAAATGTGCAAAAAAAAAGTTTATAAATAAAAATGGCCACCGCAGGTAAACACATAAAACACAATAAGCGATATGACTGATGATAATGAATAGATAACGTGCAATGAATCTCAACCTCCCCTATACATAGAGAACTTAATAATTCATATCTCCCCTATAAACTTCACAAATACTAAAAAACACATGTAAACACATGCACATTAAAGTGATACTAAACCCAGGACCCTGCATTTACTATATCCTCCCACAGTACACAGAACATGGAAATGCAATTATTTTAGTAAATATAAACTGCTAAATACCTTTTTCTCATCAGCCATATATAGCAGTCTTGTGACTTCTATCAGAGTTCAGGTATAGATGAATCAGAGTGACTTGCGAGCCACAGGTGTGATAATTACTAGAGGATCGCAAACATGAAACACATAACTACAACTGTTTTAGAAATATCTACAAATATATGTTGCGCTCCTAAATATTTCTCAATAAATAATTAAATTATTACCATTAAATTAATTCAAATTATGATACAAATAACTAAAAAGTGTATAAATACCAAAAAATATTTAAATAGATAATTTCAACTAATCAATCTCCTCCAAATAAATATCAAAATAATTCCACAAAAAATACTCCTCTGAAAAAATATTTTACCAAGTGCTCATAAATCATTAGTGACATGATGTACTTACTAATACCCTCAATTTCATTTATATTCATAATACCCTCATTTAATATAACAAAAATAATAAACCAACTAATAACACTCAACTAAAACGCATTTAAATGATCCCCATAAACAAAAATAACCAAATGCTCATAAATAACTAGTAGTGATTAGTATGAATCCAAACATCATCAAAATAATAGTCCAATTGAATAAACAATTGTTTGTATATAGTGACTTGGTGCTTGTTGTTCCTCAATTTGTGACTTTTGTGAATCCTTCAAATAGTGAAGATGTGCGCTCACCTCCTTTGATGCCTGCAATTAGGCTATCAGAGTTCAGCAGAGCACTGATTAAAGCTTGTAGGAGGAGGAGTTTCTTTCTGCACTAGGAGGATATGAAACCCCTGACCCTCTGTCTGGACAGTGCTGATTGGCCCTGCAGTGATCATATGCACTCTCCCTGGAAAAAAAAAAAAACAAAAAACCTCTAGCAATACACACCAAACTGAGCATGTGCATGTGACTACAGATTCAGTCTGTATCAGTGTGGTCAGTTCAACAAGAGGAGGGGCAGAGAAGAAAGAATTAAACAGCTTTTAATTCTTAACCCCTTAGGTTCCACAGTGATTATAACAAGCAAGGTTTACTGCATATAAAGGCTGTTTTTTTCTGTTGTGGGTTTAGTAACACTTTAAACTAATATCAACAAATGCAAAAAGCAAAATTCATAAAAGGTCCCAGAATATCCAGTGAGAAATGTCTTTCTTCAAAATATCGTGTTTTGTGACATGCATATGTCATGCGTGCTCAATATAAAATTGCTGATGTGCTCCACCACAGTGAACCATCATCTTTTAATGCTTACCTCAAGATTTGACCCACACAAAGGTAAGGTCAAACACGCTTTTCCCAACACTCTGGGTGTAATAAGTGGCAATATTCCTCCAATTCACTTGTAATAGGTAAGTATCACTTTAAGACTGCAAGACTCCAACCAGATCAATGTGAAAAATAAAACAAAAAAGATCTTGTGGTGCAGTATTAGAGTAACTTGATATTGTTTATTAAAAGATGATTAAAAACACTCACAAGTATGAGGCACTTGTAACATCCAGTGCACTAGATTGTTTGCTTGTTTACATTTCCATTACAATAGTATATGTCCCCTTAACCACTTGCCCTCCAGAGGATTTACCCCCCTTCCTGACCAGGACATTTTTTGCGATATGGTGCTGCGTTAATTTAACTGACAATTGCGCAGTCATGCAATGCTGCACCCACATTTATGGCCTATTTTCCCCCCACAAATACAGCTTTCCTTTAGTGGTATTTGATCACCTGTGCGATTTTTATTTGTTGTGCTATAAACAAAAAAAGACCAACAATTTTGAAAAAAAAAAAAAAAATTTTTAACTTTTTTGCTATAAAACATATCCAATAAAAAAATCAAATGTCTTCATAAATTTAGGCCAAAATGTATTCTGCTACATGTCTTTGCTAAAAAAAAAAAATCCCAATACATGTAAATTGATTGGTGTATGTGAAAGTTATAGTGTTTACAAATGGGGGTATATATACTGGAATTATCTTTTTATTTTAATGCTAGCAATGGCAGCGATCAGCGACTTATAGAGGGACTACGGGACTGAGGCGGGCATTCTGACACTGGGTGGAAACTGACTAACTGCCACTGACATCCCCAGTGACACTAGTACAGTGATCAGTGCAAATAAAAAGCACTGTACTAATGACACTGGGCAGGAAGGGATTAACATCTGGGGCGATCAAGGAGTTAAGTGTTGCTGTTTGTGTTTCACATGTGCTGTGTGTGTTTTACTAGGGAGACAAGCTGCTGTGTATTTCTCTGCTGTGCATCAGAGTCACCTACAATTCAACCCTCCTACTCTAAGAATATTGGAGCTCCAGGATGCTGATGTCATCAACTGCAAGTAATGCAAGTTCCTGCATAATGTTAAATATTAGGAATATTTTTTTGATGTTGTAATAAATTATTCTTGGATGATCTGCAATATTTCAGTGTTTCTTTTATACTTTGCAGACATTGGTTGAGAGGTAGTTAACGTGGTACTGGTAGTGGTGGCTACTGACCTTTAGTGAATCCTGTATGGGGATTTTTCCATACATAGGAACATACTGACCTCTATACTTTGGGGTTCCCTTTCTCTGGTAAGCTTTCTGTTCATATACAGTAGTGGTGATTGATTTGGCACTATAAGAATCTCTCTAGTGCCACTGCAATCAGCAAATTGGATGGATCAGTGAAGTTATGGACATGAGACATTTTTCACTTTGTTCATGGCACAGTGGTGGAGGATCTAATGATCAATTTTATGTTAGAGAGGTCTCACTTTAAGTGCTGTGGTATATATGGTATATGTAACCCTCTTAAGAGCTAATTGAATCACCTAAATTGCACCGTGGGACATAGTAGTTGAGCTTCAGCTGCAACTTTCAAAGTTGAGATTTGCATCTGTGTGTATGTAGGAGGATGTCCCATGGCATGCAAAAGAGGATTGTGCCAGCCTAGTAGTATGTATTGCCACTGCCCAGGAGGGACCTTGCTATATGTGCCATCTGCCTCACTACACTAAAGAAAATAAACATGTGAGTTGACATGGCCAGTTGTCAAAGAACTTCTCCAGGCCTCACACCAAAAGGATAGCGTCATCTCTCCAGCCAGTGACATGGGTCTGCTCCTGCCCATCCCAATGTTGGAGTACAGAACCATTTGAGGTTAGCAGTGCAGAACAATAACTATCCTCCACCAGTTCTCTAGCCCAGCAGGGTTGTTTGCTTCAACCCATGAGTATGGAGATAGACACCATTCACATGCAAGGCTTTGCTTCTTTGATGGTCCAGACCCTGTTCTTAAAGTAGTTCTAAAGCCTTAAGGTTTTTCACCTTAACCCCTTGGCACCGACGCCTCCCGGCCCTGTAAGTTTTTCAGAAGCCGGGAGGTGGGGTGGAGTTTTAGGGTCATCTGACCGCCGTGATTTGCTGTCACGGCGGTCCACATGATTGGGAAAGGCCCCAATCAAAAGAGGAGTTTGGGACCTTTCCGTGAGTACCGAACGTGTGTGCTGGGAGTGGGCAGGGTGTGCGCTAACAGCACATATATTTTTTTTAAATAGAACGCAAATGTGTGGCCACTCGGCATCTAGGCCCAGACGCTGGGAGGCTGCACATTTGCATTCGGCCGGCGCCAAGAGGTTAATGAATTCTATGCATTAAGGTGAAAATACTGTGCTGCAGCTCCCCTCAGCCCCACCTTTTTCTTACCTGAGCCTGATCGGATCCAGCGATGTGCATGAGAGCAGTGGCTCTAGCCGCTGTCTCCTTCCTTATTGGGCAAATTGATAGCAGCAGGAGCAATTGGGTCCTGCTGGTGTCAATCAAATGCTGTGGAAGCAGACAGAGTGACTCAGGAGGGGCTTTCCGTGGAGGCACCCGCTGAAGAGGAGGGGCCAGGAGTGCCAAAAGGGGACCCCAAAAGAGGAGGATTGGGGCTGCTCTGTGCAAAAGCATTGCACAGAGCAGAAATGTATATTATTATACATTAAAAAAAAACAAAGGTTTATTAACACTTTAAGAAACCCCATACCACATCAGCTCTAGGGTAGGGACCCACCACTGAGAAGGGCAAGTTTAGACAAGAACTGCACCACCCTTCTGGCTGGAAGGGTCACTGTCCACCACCATCCACATTCCAAACTGGCTGCTCTTCCTTCTTACACTGATATTACACATGAACTCAATCATTCTTACTCAGTTACACTTTGTTCCCTTTATTATATACACTGTGAAGTCACACATGAGCTTATCTTCATTAAGTGTCCAGACCAGACATAAACAAACGTGTTTACTGAAGTGACATTCAAGATATCTGAGTTACATTGTTCCGTCACATAAACGTCTTCTACACTATCATTGATATTACAACAGACTCAGAGATATAGGAAATACAAACCCTAAACCCTGAGGTAGCTATTACTGAGATATTAGTGTGGACTGCAGTATGATGCAGGTTGTATAATGGTTCAGGCCATACAATGGAGTGCATACCTTTAGTAGCCATAAGACTTCCCATAAGCATGGTTAACAGAGCTCCATCTTTCCACTACGGGTTCCATCAGGAGTGAACTCCTCCTCCACCAACGTTCACATCTCAGGATGTCTGGCCTTTTTCCTTTCCCTTAGCACCACTAAAAGCCACAAGAAGCCCCTATACCCCGGGGAACACTCAAATAGAAGGAGACTGCCTCCAGTCAGCCACCAGTGCATGTAATTAACCCCAGTGATACATTAATACAACAATGCATGTATACAGTGACTATATTATCACCTGCCAACACGCTCAGTTCCTGCCATCAGCATGTTATCCCAGTTTGTACTAATGTTTGTGGTGACACATTCCTTATTTTGCTCTGAACATATATTTTCCTTTAGCAAACCAGACTGTGAATAAAGCTGTTTTAATGAATCTGTTTAGCATATTATGTAACTGTAGTTGTCGCTTTATCTTTATCATTGAGGGGTAAATATGTTGAATCTGGAGAAAATCTGCTTAGATTGCCATCATTGTCACATGAGAGGGGGATGATCAAAGTGCAGAGTGATGCAAGGTACACTACAAAGAAATAGAAGAGACATCTGTCAGGATATTTATAGACACACAGCATGGGAATGTGCTTTTCTATGGTGTTCATTATTTTGTTTCCAAAACAAGGTGTTCTGTTTGCAAACATTGAGTCTAAATATATTTATTAAATGCAGATTCATTAAGCCAAGGTTTCCTTCCCAGCGCTGGTTGCTAGGGGTTACACACAAAATCCAGACTAAAAAAATATAAATAATTTTTAAACGTTGCATGCCGTGTGAAGCAATCAGTCTAATGGTGTGATAAAAGTAAATGAACGGCAAAACTAATGACTCTGACATCGATTGAGCAAGATAAAAATGGCATGATTGAGTGATGAAATCGATCGTTAATGTGAAAGCATATTTATAATGACAGTTTTAATCCACCCAAGTTGATAGGTTGTGGCAAAAAAAAGGAATCACGAAGGGTTGATTAGTCAAGCTACATGTAAGGATGTGAAAAATGCCATTGATCTACACTGTATGATCAGTTCTTTTACACCACAACTGATTGACTTGGTACGATCAAAACCATCATAATCTGTATGGCCACCATTATTAGTGTACAAGTGACTGAGCAGCCCCATTAGCAATCTTTTTAGCATTTAGAAGTCTTTCAGCCCTATATGACAGGGTGCAGTAGGACCATGTCTATTTGGGACTAGGAATCATTGGGTCTTTGTGTCTATTCTCAGTTTTGATACAAAATAGGGGAGGTTGTTGATGTTTGGAAAGGGCAGTATTGCACCGAGAGGATGGCAATTAGCAGATAATGAAAGGCTTCCTTTAAGGCTCCCTTTCATTGGTTGACGGTTCTCGCCATGCTGACTCTGGACCCGCACTGTTTCTTCTTG